TTCACCGATTTGGCATTTGTGCCTTGCCTTCTCAAGAAGTTTGGTTTGATCACAGTGGTGGTGATGACTAGCCGGTGGTCTGTGAAGACGGTTGTGCCCGAGTAGCTGCGCGCGTTTGTAGTGAGGTGGATGTGCTTCTTGGGCGTGAAAATGTAGTCGATTTGGTTGTAGATTGGTACAACATTGCCGGTGTTTTTGTCGAGCCTTTGACCCTGCCATGTCGTGATGTGGCTTGCTTTGTGCGCGAATCTGGTGTTAGTCGCTATGAGGTCATGCGATTCGGCGAACTCGGCGAGAGCTTGCCCGTTTGGGTTGCGTCTACCGCGCCCAAATCGCCCGACGCATTGTGTGTTGGGTATGTTTACACCGATCTTGGAGTTGAAGTCACCTGCGAGAAAGAGCACTGACTCCTTGTTGATCGTCTGCAGTGTCTTTTCCAGTTGATCGTAGAATTGGTCTCTTTCTTTCTCGCCTGTCTCGTTGGCTGTCCTGACTTGTGTTGGAGCGTAGACATTGATGAGTTTTAGAAGCGTACGCTTCGTTAGACGGAACGTTGCGACGGCGATTCGATAACTCACTGATTTAAATGTAATTAGTCGTGTCGCCCAGTATTTGCTCACTACAAAGCCGAGGCCGTAGTGGCTTTTTCCGCTGGGAAGTGTGATGAGTCTGTAGCCATCTATGTTCTCGTCGATTTGTGTGTTGATCTTCGTCTCTTGCAGGCAGCAGATGTCTACCTGATAGCTCAGTAGATCTTGGATCAGCTGCTCTTTCTTGTGTTGTTGTTTGAGGCCGCGAACGTTGAAAGTGGCGATTCTTGTTGCCCTTGTTGTCCCCATCTGTGGACCCCCCCCGAACGTGGAATATACTCATTGAAATTCGTACCGCGCATATTGGATATGGATACTACAGGCATATATATAAACAAGAATGTACCTTATCCAAACGAAGTCGAATCACTAGAAAACATGGATTCGGAAAGAGATAAACGTTTAACACATAAACTAAAAGCAACTAGTTATGGTGATTGGCAATTTAACATTGGAATAATAAATACAAAAGATTTTGAAAATAGAGAAAACCTAGATAATATGTTTATAGAAAAAAGTGAACAAACTATTTCAAAAACATGCATAAATGTTGAAAGAATTTCTGTTCAAAAAGCTATTAAATTCTGTAATATTGAATTTTCATGTAATATGGATTGGTATTTAAATAATCAAGATGCAGTCGAAATAGATTTAAATCGTTAAATTTTACATTTGGATTTAAATAATGAATATTTGATGAAAAAATTAGAACAAGAGTTATTTTATAAACAAATGTATAAATTATTTGGAGAAAGTGAAGATGATCATAATAAGTCAGAAAACAATGATACAATTTATGAAAACTGTTTTATTCTAAAAGATTTTCATGTATTGTTTTCGAATGAAAATTATATGTTCGCCAGTGCTAAACGAGAAAATTATTATTTACTGTTTAGCTTTGTATATTAACTAAAAATGTTTTAATTTTATTTAATTATAATAACTTTTATTATTGCCTCGTTGTAGGTTAAACTGATACTCATTTTTAGTGGAGCCCTCAGAAGCAGAATGCTGTTTCGTTCTAACTAAAACTAGTAACCTCTGGCCAGACCTAGCCACCACATACATGTTCGATCCATTGAATCTAATATACAAAAACATTTCCTCTTTGTCCCCATGATAGTAAACAAGAATCTTTTTGCTCGAAACATTTTTATTGTTTCTTAATTAAAAAAAAGCTCTTTAATTCAAAAACATAAGAAAACTGAATGGCGTTATTATTTGTTTAATCTGAAAGGTTCTTGCTCATTGTTTAAAAGAAACAGCTGTGTTTTCCCAATAATTAGCCTAGAATAATAATAAAGATTTGATTTAGGCTTTTAATTTCAATTCAGAATCAGTGTTTTAAACCCAATCGCCTAGCACACCTTCTTAACAAACTAGTTTCTCAATTTTGAGCTCGGCCTCACACAGACACAATACATTCTCACTGAAACTATTAAGCTTAATATTCAGATTCTTGAGTTGGGTAAGTTTGCGAATATATTGAATAAACTCGGTAATTTTAAAGTTATCAAGCCGGTTTGCGCTTAAATCGAGGTATGTGATCTTGTTTCTTTCAGAAAGAGTATGCATATATTTGTGAAATGTGGGAGTGTTCATCCAAAAGGTAAATCGGAGATCCAGGTGTTCTAGTAAAGTTAGTTTTTCCAATGCCAGATTGAGTGCATCGTTCCTTATGACTCCAAATATATCCAACATCCAAAAAGATTAGATTTCTGAGATTTCTCAATGCTTCACAGAACAAGTTAATTAAACTTTCTGAAATCAAATAGTTCGATGAAAAGTTGAGTTCGGTCAGATTGGTAAAATTTCCTAAAGCCTGGAACAGACTATAGTTTTCGATCTGCTCTACGCTGTTCGAACTCAAGTCCAAATTCTTTAATTTAGACAGTCCTCCCAGAGATTTACAGAAACTTTCGGTGAAATACTTTCCTAAATAATTCCCCGAAAGATCCAAGTAAACTAATTCTGGAATAAGGCTGAACATTTCACTGAGAATATTTATCGCACCAATATTATCAATCTCGTTGTAGGAAAGATTCAAATATGTCAAATCTGGCAAATATCCAAAAGCATTGACTAATTCAGAAGTGATAAATTTCCCAATTTGGTTATATTTTAAATCTAGATGTTTTAACTTAGTCAGCTTCTTTTAGCGACTTGAATAAAGTCCCCACATTTTCAACCTCCCCTCCGATTTCACTGTCTGAAAGTTCTAAGGATGTCAATTTTATTAACTTTCCGAGTGAGGAAAATAGAATGTGGTTGGACGTCTGTCTAAATCGATGGATCAGGTTTAAAATAACTCCTGATACGCAAGATGTGGAATACTCGACCCCACATCCTGAAAGAGCAGGGGTAGTCAGTGTATCCTTGTTGTTGAATAGAAATGCCCTCAAGCGAGCTGTGGAATCTCTATCGATTTCAATATTTTTAAGCTTTAGAAGTTCCACACATTTTATGTGCTCTATCGCAGTGATGATTAGAAGAAGAGATGTTTTTAAATCACTTGATACTTCTATCTCTCCGATTTCAAGATAGGATTCAAAAATATTCAGAATTGCTTCTAAATTATTCAGCCCATCGTGGTTAGTATTTTGATCTGTATATATATATATGTCACTATGTCGAGATCAGATCAGTGATCTGATAAAATTGACTGTAAAGTATTGTAATGCTCTGTTTTTTATCTAGTAAACATGTACAATTAATAAAATCTTGCTGAGTTTCTCTTCCGAAAATGGCTTTCTTGTGTTTACTATAATCCTTAGGTGTTTGTCTTCAGGTTTATCGATGAGATCGTCATAAAAGTCTAAAAGTAACCTTAAGTTTTCACTATCTATATGCTTTGTGTTTACTGTCACAAAACTGTCAGTTGAATCCAAAACCTCTTTGGAGTTTCTCTTGTGGCCAAAATACATTAACCAAGCTCAGCATACTTGCTCATCTTATCACAACTCACGCTAATACAGCTCCCTACTCCAACAGATGATGCTGAGATCAGTGTCATCAAAATACCTAAGGAGCCGCAGAGAAAACATTTGCAATCTGATCATTAATTCAAAGATCGATCTTGAGCTGGTTTAATATATCTGTGATGAGAATTGGTCTTAGCTGCCTCAAAGAATAGCATTTTATCATGAAAACTGTTTAATCAAAATTCTAAGTGAATAATCTGTTTAAAAAATCTGCAAGCAGAACGGTTAATAAAAAATACCACATTAAAAATCAGAAGTGAAGAATATTTAACATTGAATCATTTGTGTGGAGGTCGTGCACAATTTGCGTTCGCTGCGAACTCATTTCTCTGTCGCTTTATTTTCGGTGGATCGCTGTTCAGGGATACATATACAATCTACATAGTGACATATATATATATACATCGTAGGCATC